ACATTTAAGATAGCTCAGCCTTTCAGAGGAGCAGGAGTCAAAGACATGTGCACAGGAGATACTTACTGTGTTGTAATGAGCAACATACGCAGAGTTTCCCAAGCCAAATACAGCGTATCTCAGGCCCTTCAGATAGGCTTTCCCAAAGCGGAAGTCGTGCGCAGCCTCTTCTAACCACCTACAGAACCAGGCTGCACTCTCGGTTGGCTGCCCATCTGTGTATGTAGCCACCAAGAACACACAGATGTTCCTGCTGGTTGTCTAAGAACAGAAACAGAACACAAGAGAAAAGATCACTCAAGTTTCCTGACCACTTCAGGAAGAGAGCTGGAACACGTGGGCACCTGAAAGAAGTCAAAAGATGAGATTTTGGCTGGCTGGCTGAATAGTTTTTGGTGTGGGATGCTGCAGGTGATAACCCCAACAGTGGTGGATGGCCATCCTCCCTGCAAAGCCATCTTATATTAACCAAAAGAGAACAAGCTCTCTTTCCCCTGCTTAATGGAGTGGGAAAACAGAACGGGACACCCACCTTCCCCACCCCAATCAACAGCTTCCAAAACACGCTCTTGCAGCAATAACGCCCCCCATACATTAAAAAATCAACTACCAATATTGACAGAAGAAAAATCCACAAGGATTCCCCAGCAGAAATACTGCTCATGAGAAGTTTCTAAGTCTAAAAGCTGCAGAAGAATCACCATCCTCTTACTCCAGTTTTGAACCCTTCCCAGGTGGACACTCTCACAGACACAACAGGGGCCCTGGTGCAGACACGGTCCATTACTCACAGCCAAGCTACACAACTGGCTCGGACAAAGCCACACTCGGCATCACACGCCCTACACGAGCCTTTCCTCAGCAATTTCAGCATTTAGCTATTTGTTGCCAAGGGCTGATGGACTGCACTTGCTTCCATGGAAGGAAAGCAAATTTCAACACACAGCTTTGCCTTCACAACCCCAGGAAAAGCTTGGATTTATTATTCCCATTTACAACATACCTACCTCCTCTAATAAACAATCATCTGGATCACAGTCTCCCATGCTAATGACTTCCACTGGCACATTAAGGGAAATAACTGCCTCAGCAAGAGCTCTGGCAAATCTCTGAGAAAAGAAACAGAGACAGCGACTGGGTGCTACAACACAGGTACCTGAAAGGTCAAACGAGCCCTGCTGTGCCCAGAGACAGGACTTCTCCCAGCACAGCAAGGATATACTGGCTGGAAAAAGAGAATCACATGAATTTTATGATTAATGATTTTATATTTACACACACAAATGACATTTCTTTTTGAAAAAGCACCTGAAAGAGCACTTCTCTCTAAGAAGATCAGCTAGCAAATTAAGAGTATAATCAAGGCCAGGCTGGATGGGGCTTGGAGCAACTTGCTCTAGTGGAAGGTGTCCCTGCCTGTAACAGGGGGTTAAAACTGGAAGAGCTTTAAGGTCCCTTTCAACACAAACCAGGCAGGGGTTCTATAACACTGTAAGAGTAAGCTTGAAGCTTCATAATAATGTCTCTACTCCATACCCCACATGAAGGCAGTAGTAAAGCTCTTATTTTTATATGCTTTTCACTTAACTTTCCTGTTGGGCAACAACTTCTCATGACCTAAGGAACTCTGATTTCTACACACTGTAGTGTTTCTAAGGCAAGCAACATACTCGAATCTCAACATTTCAACTCAAGATCATGCACATGGAAAAAGAGTAACTCATACCTTTGCTGTGCCAGTCTGAGACCCATAGAAAATCTTTACCCCAGCAACGTAGACCTCCTTTCTCTGCAGGGTGGCACATCCATTGACTACCTTGTCTTCTATTCCTTCAGAAGAAGCGGGATTCCCAGTGGGTTTTTCACCCTGTGGAACAAGCACTGTCTCGTGTTCCATCCCTTTTCAAAGCGATGGTAACCCCCTTTTTCCCAAAAGCATTGAAAATTCCAGTCCTGTGATCAGACTCTCAGCACCATGCAAATGGAACGAAGCAGTTGAGTGTCTCTCACCCTACAGAAACACACAAGTAGCTTTCTCCAAACTAGGCCACGCTACAATACGCTCATCTCGCACGCTGCTGAGATAACAGGCTCAGGCTGAAACCAAGAACTTCCCAACTCCCAAAGCAGAGCTTCACTCACCTGAACGACAAGGATTTAAATTCCCTAGTGGCCTAATCCCACTCTGGTCCCCAAACCAGCCCAACCTTGTCATTAACATCACAGGAAAAATGAGAAAACCTTGCAGAAGCAGAATGATTTGCCTGAAGTGACAGAGCAAGCCAGGCTGACACACTCCCTCAGTAACAAATGGAAAGCATTCAGATGAGTTCTGCTGTGACAGCAGAGCAAAGAGCGCGTTCAGTTACCTACAAACATAAGACGACCCAGACCGAGGATTACAACCATCAGACGCACTGAACTACAGCTGGCACATGCAACAACTCAGGTGGGCCCACAGTGGAGTAGCACATTTCACTGCACCAGGGGCTTCCTTTCCCCTGGGGCTCTTCTCAAAGCACTTACATGCTCTGTTACCTTCTCTTGGGGTTTGGAGGTGGAGAACTGAATGACGATCCAAATGCTGACCCCAAAAGCAACTGCAGAATAGACGTAAAGCCTGTGCAGCCATAAGGACACCAGGCAAGTAGAGAAGAAGCTCCACATGTCCATTGAGACATCTAAGTCTAAAACAGATCACAGAGTTAGCGAGAGCAGATTCCAACAGCACAGAGAATGAACACCACAAACCCAGCCATCCCGCACCTGCAGGCTCAGGCCAGCAGCCTGATGCCAGGCTCTGCAGAAAACAGCCTTTGCCTACAAACAAGACGCTACAAGGAGCCTTCACCTCCTCAGAGGAGCACCAGCTGAGCTCCACTTCTATTTCCACTGCCCTGTGGAATCTCTGGGTTTTCCTTAGAGAGCACCGGTTCTGTTCCAGGCAAAGGCAGGTAACACTCGAGCTGTGCAAGTGTCTGAAAGGAAGCAGTCCCTGTGAAACACCCAGGGCATCGGACCGGCCTTACTTTTGCACAGATCCAACACGTGCAGATCTCTCGAGCTACAAAGCTCCACGGCAAGGGGGAAATCACCTCCAAGCGCCTGCTGCTGAGCACAACCCTTGCTCGTACACGTGAGGCGCCACTCTGCTTACAGGAGCTTTGAGCCAGGTTCCAGGCCAGACCAAGACCTCGACTCGGGTCACAACCTTGACGGGAAGCCCTTCACCAGCAACACCGAAGCTCCCAAAAACCAGAGCTGGGAGCGCTGCGGCTCTGCGGCAGCCCCAGCGAACCCCTCCAGGGGCGCTCCGGGAACCTGCAGCACCCCGGGAACCCCGCTCCGCCCCCCCTCCCCAGGCAACCCCTGCAATTCCCCATGGAACACCCCCACCTCCCCCGGGCCCCGCCACCCCTCAGCCCTGGGCCTGCCCTACCCCTGCCCCTCCGCACGCACCATTGACTCCTGCTCGGAGCTCGCCCGACCCACGGAACCACGGCACATCCTCACACAAACCTCTCGTCCCCTTGCCCCGAAACCACCTCACGCCTCTTACCCCGCACCCGGCCAACACCCACCACAACATCCTCCCCGCTGCACTTACCTTCCACACACCCCCGAGCTCCTACACGGCCAACCCCGGCTCCGCCAGTCCCGCACGGACACCCGCCCCCCTCCGCTCCCGCCACAGCGCAACACCCGCTCCCGCGGCCCGCACCGCCGGAGAGCTCCCGCCTCGCTCGGCCCAGGGGACGCCGCTTCCGGACGCCTGCGGCCGCCGCGCACCCCTTCCCTGCGGAGGGAGCTTGCGGAGCGACAGGGAGGCGGGGACAGCGTAGGGGCGGCCACAGAAGAGTCATGGCCGGGCGGATTCAGCCAATGACAGCACAGCGCTGGGCGGCCCCGGCCAATGGGGAAACAGCGCTGGGCGGCCCCGGCCGCGGCCATTTTAGCTCCGCCTCCCTGCTGGGGCCGTGGTGCGAGCGCGGCGTGGCGGGAAGCGCTGCGAGGTCGCCGCTGCCGAATGGCAGCCAAGTTCTGGGCCGGCGCTGTCAGGGCCGGGTGCGGAATAGGGACACAGGTGGGATAAGGACACGGGTGGAACAGGGACACGGGTGGGATAGGGACACGGGTGGAACAGGGACACAGGTGGGATAAGGACACGGGTGGGATAGGGACACGGGTGGAACAGGGACACGGGTGGAACAGGGACACAGGTGGGATAGGGACACGGGTGGAACAGGGACACGGGTGGAACAGGGACACAGGTGGGATAAGGACACGGGTGGAACAGGGACACGGGTGGAACAGGGACACAGGTGGGATAAGGACACGGGTGGAACAGGGACACGGGTGGGATAGGGACACGGGTGGAACAGGGACACAGGTGGGATAAGGACACGGGTGGGATAGGGACACGGGTGGAACAGGGACACGGGTGGAACAGGGACACGGGTGGAACAGGGACACAGGTGGGATAGGGACACGGGTGGAACAGGGACACGGGTGGAACAGGGACACAGGTGGGATAAGGACACGGGTGGAACAGGGACACGGGTGGGATAAGGACACGGGTGGAACAGGGACACGGGTGGGATAAGGACACGGGTGGAACAGGGACACGGGTGGCACAGGGATATACATGGTACAGAGACCCTGGTTATCAGGGCTGCAGGCGGCACAGCGACACAGGTGGCACAGGGATATACATGGCACAGAGACCCTGGTTATCAGGGACACAGGCGGCACAGGGGCACAGGCGGCACAGGGGCACAGGCGGCACAGGGATGCAGGCGGCACAGGAATACAGGCAGGATAAGGACACGGGTGGCACAGCTATGGCGGTGCTGGTCCCATAGCTCTGCCTGTGGTGCTGCCCTGCCTTCTTGTGCAGGGATCGCTGCTGGGCGCAGTGGGGTCCTGGTGTGCGATACGGTCCTGCCGGCCCGCAGGCGCCTGCTCCCATGGACTCTAACGGTGGCTTGGCCGCAGGCACCGTCTGTGCTGAGAGCACCCAGTCCGGCCACTACTGCCTTGAGGGAGCACGGGGGGAGGACGGGATCGGATCCTCCCACCGCTAACAGAGGCGCTGACCGTTGTGTCCCCGCAGAGCCCCGCTGCCGACCGTGCGCCACCGGTACCCGCTGCTGCCGCACTGGAGCCCTAGGACCGTTTCCCCGCCGGTACGCTGGGACAGTCAGATGCCCAGGGTCTCGCCATGGGCCCGACGCCCAGCCCCGCTCCGCAGCCCAGCGCGCAGCTCTTTGCTTCTCCCCACTCTGCCCTGGCCACTCTGCAGGGGGGACACATCCAGGGAAAAGGGGAAGACGAAATCTCTTTGCTGTGCTGACAGCTTTTCAGCTGGAGGCAGCAGCACGCCTGGGAGCCCGGTGTTGCCACTTTGACGTGGGTCTCCTCAGCACCTGCTGAGCTGTAATAAAACACTGCTCACGTCCTGGGCTGGGCTTGCAGATGTGAGAGGGGGATGTAGTCGTGGCTAATGGAGCTCTGCAGCTGTGCAGGGAAAGGTTTTCTCCAGGGTGAGTCAGAGGGAAGGGTTTGCTGTGTCTGGGGCAGCAGCATCCTCCCTCCCCGTTGCCTCGCTTAGAAACAGTCTGGAGGCTGCTTGCTCCCAGAGTGGATCCCGTTTGGGGTGCTCAGGCTGCCCTCCATGGATGTTCTGGAGGGGAGCTGAGCAGCTTTGAAGCAAGAGAGGCTCTGGGCTCGGTAGCCAGTGCCTGGGAGATGGGATTTACTCTACAGCGATGAGGAGGACGGGAGGCTGTGCTCCCCAGAACCAAATTAGTTACTGCTGGTCTCTTCCTGTGTTCCAGGAGAAGTGGATGTGTGGGGGGTTGTCCCCACAGTCCTGCAGAGGAGTCTGCTGTGCGGTGCCCAAATGGACAGGAAGGTAATGTACTGCTGATCCAGCGAGCGCCCGCTTGTCGGTGCCAGCCGGGAAGAAAGCGTTCACCTTCCCAGCCATCCCAGTACCCAAGTGCTGCTCTCCAGGCCCGAGACCTGGCTACTGGGTCACCCAGCTGTGGGGCAGCCCTGATGTTGTGCTGATCAGCGTCCCTGCAGCCTTGTTCCCCTGCAGTGCTGTGGAGCAGCAGGACAGGGTGGGTCCGACCAGGGCCCTGTGAGGAGCAGCGGCTCCCACCCGGGATCCCCGGCTGCTGCCTTGAGGCTGCCCGAGCCGGGGCCCTGGTGGGGGGAGAGGAGCAGCTCCTCTGCCTGGAGCCACGCTCAGGCTGCTGCGGTGACTCAAGGCTGTTGCCCTGAGCTCTGCTGTTTGGCAAAGACAGCAAAGAAACGCCTGTGGGCGTCCTTGGCGTGTTGGGTCTCGTCCTGCTCCCAGGTCAGGGGGCCGACCCTAACTGGCTCTCTCCTGCTTGCAAAGGGAACGGGAGGTGTGACGATGGAGCCGCGCGCCGGTGACAGCGACCAGGGCTGTGCAGATGGAGGTGGGGCCCAGCTCTGTGCCAGGGTTGGGTGGGCCACTGGTGTGGGACAGCAGTGGGACACGAGGTAGCTCAGGTCTGCAGGTGGGACGAGCTTGTGGTGTCCCCTGCAAAGGAGGAACGTGCTGATGCTGAGGCAGTGGCGTTTTCTCCTGTGTGCCCGTTGTGGCTAGGGTCCTGTGGCACAGTGCAAGATGTGGCCACGTCTGGCAGTTTGTGTGGTTTGTGGTTCGGGTGGGCAGCGGGCAAGGAGTGTCTGTGGAGGTGGGATGGGGCCACTGGCCCGTGGAGCCCCAGCGGGCTCTTGTGACAGCTTCCCCGTGGATCTCTTGTGGCCAGCTGCTGCCCCAGGGTATCGCAGCCTTGTCCGCAGCTTAAGGCCGTGTCCCTGGCTCTGCCCTCCAAGATGGGCATCCGGAGAGGAGTGAGAAGGGACAACCCCTCGGAAGAGGCCAAACGCCCCTGCTGGGAGCTGCTCCTGACTTGTCTCCTCCTGTAGCTGTCGAGAGGGCTGAGGAGAAGCGGCGGCAGTCCCCGAGCCCACCACCATCGCCGGGAAACGGAAGACCGCGCAGGAGGAGCATCTGCCTGCTGGTGCCCTGGGATAATGAACCACTGGTGCTGGTACGTCGCTGTCTCGCAGCCTCTTTGGCCTCGTCTGGGGACAGAATGTGCCCAGTGCAATTTGTGCAGGGCTGGGTGCAGGCTGACCTGCCGGCCTTGGGGCAGGAGGTCTCGTCCTTGGCTGAGTGGGAAGTGAGGCTCTCCCCTGCCCCGGTGCGTGGCGGCTGTGCGTGACTGCTGCCCGCTGCTGGAGCAGGTACTGGCTGGGCAAGGGTGCTGTGCCCTCAGCGCCAAGCTGGGGGCCAAAACGAATGGGGACCGGAGCTCTGCGGTGGCTGTGGCAGAACCACGGCTTCCCGGCTCTGGAGCCAGCCTGCTTCCACACCTCCTTCAGCGCGGCTCTGCCGGCTTCCCTGAGAAGGAACTAAGCTACTGCTCTCTCTTGGCAGCCCCCTGCGCCTGACCCGGGCTACCCCATCACGGAGGAGATCATAGAGGAGGAGAGGAAGGCAGCGCAGCAGCGGTTGCACCGACTCTTGCGACCTAAGCCGGGTAAGGGCAGAGTGGGAATGTGAAGGGCACGGCAAGGAGGAGAGAGCCGTGGCACGGGCTGGCAGGGCAGTGGGGTGTCCGTGCAGCGCAAGCTGAGGAAGCTCCTGGGCCAGTGCTCCCTGGTCCTCGGGTCTGAAACTTTTAGAGCCTGGTGAAGGCTTGGGCGGGAGAGCTCGTGCCCTGCAGTCCCCAGGGTGATGGGCAAGGGTCCCGAGGGCCGGAGCTGTGAGCTGTTCATGCTGGGAGGCTCTGCTAAGGGGTATTCCCATACAGCAAGTTGTGGGTCCTGATTTCGTGCTCCCTCCCAGCAGATGAGGTCCCCAGCACCAATGGGGAAGGTACGTCCCTGGGCACAGCCATCGCCCAGGGCTCCTTGGGCACCAGCTGCACAGGGGCAGCGTCAGGGAGCACAGCATCGGTGGTTTCTGGGCTAGCCGATTCCAGCACCAGCGGCCTCACTGACACCAGCCAGCCCAGAAGTGTGAGCGCACCCGTGCTGGGAGGTGAGTCAGGGCGGACGGGGCTTCTGCACGGATGAAGGGCAGGGTTAGATTTAGGCAGCAGCTCTCCTGCCAGACCTGGCTGAGCTGCCCGGGCTCAGCAGCCCTGAGGGCTGGTGCTGGGGCTGTGCAGAGCCTTGCCATGTGAAGGGAAGGTGCTTCCCTCACTTGCTGCCCCGGTCCCTAGCCTCGGGGCGTGCAGGGGAATCTGAAATGCCGCTCCTTGCCCCCTCTGGATGCACTGGATGCATCGGCTCCTGCGGGTGCTGCCAGCTCCCTAAAGCCAGGCTCTTCCTCCTTTGCTGACCCCGGCTCACGGTGGTGTGTCGCTTTCCAGGGACTTCTGCATCCTTCTTTGGCCAGCGCCCCTCAGGCCTTGGAGAAGGCGTCGCTTCCCCTGGTAGTGAGCGAGCTGGTGCTTCAGCCTCGATGAGCTGATGGGTCGTGTCGTCCCCTTGGTCTGCGGGATGGCAGAAGGGCCAGGCTGTGCCATAGGAGCCACCATAGGGTGGTGGCTGCTGGGCTCTGGGGATGTCCCACTGGGACAGGGATTGTGGTAGCCCTGGTTCCAGCTCAGAGTGCAGCTGCAGAGACCTGAGCCAAACTTTGTGCTTCCAGGTTTGTCCAGCCCTGCCTCTTCGACCCAGGCAAGATCCAGGATCCAGGGAGCTCTCAAGCGGCTAAAGGCACGGGACCATCATTGCCATAATAAGTAATAGCCAGTGCTGCTGGCCCCCCACCCGCGGGGCTCTGGTCCAGAGCAGCCCCGAGATGGGACCGGAGAGATGGGGCCAGGCCCCTTCTCTGCTGCCAGCAAGAAACCGTGCTGGGTGGCAGCGCCCGGGGTGGCACGGAGTGAACCAAACTCTTCCTACTGGAAGATTTCCCCCCCGAGGCTGGATGAACGTCTCTGCGTCTCTGCAGCCTTGCCTTCTGGCTTTATTTTGCCTTCTTTCCTAAGGTGCAGACCTTTGCTCCAGCCCTGGCAGTCTCTCCGCTCCCTTCTCTTCCCCTCTCTGCTGGTGCCCCTCCCCATGTTTGGGTGCTCTGGAGCCAGCTGGGGAGTCCAGAGCGGATGGGGATCCTCTCCAAATCCAAATTGTTTTCCATCTGTGGCCCATCCCCACCCCTTTGGGGTTTACCAGCTCCCAGGAGCTGCGGTGCTGTCTCCCCCGGGACCGTTCAGTGGGAGAGGGGCAGAGGCTGCCAGAGCCAGGGCTCACCCAGGAGCTGCCCCCCCTGCCTGCAGGGTCCCCACCACCCCCAGGAGGGCTTTGCTGCCGGCTCTTTTACTCTCTGAGCCGTGTGAGTGTGTGTGTCGGGGGCAGTCTAAATTACAGAAACCCCACAAACATTGAAATGTTCTTTAATGGAATAACACTTTGGTTTTATAGCTGAGCTGTTACAGCAGCTCCTTGCTTCTAAACGGTGATGTACGTGGATGTGACTAAACCTGTCCTGTTTGGTTTTTGTTCTTCCCCAAGGAGGAGGACAGCTCCGACACCAACTGGCCTTTTGGGCCATCTGCAGCCAAACAGCAGCGGCTGTGAAGATCCCTTGAAGATTTCATTGTTCCATGTTTGTTCTTCACAGGTTCTAATATTCTTGTTCTACTGTTGTTCTCTTGTTGTTAAACTGTAGCTGTTTTGTTGTTTTATTGTTATTTCTATTTACTGGGTTCTTGTTATACTTTTGTTCTACCCTTGTTGTTGTAACAATTAAACTTAAGTTTTTACCGTAATTTCACTATCATTTTACTATTTTTTAACTGTCAATATGTAATTCCCACCCCTCACCGCACCTCGCATCCCCTTTTTATGTCCCCACTTCAAATAAACAGTCTGTGTTCACATCTGCCTTCCCCGTGTTTGATTCCTGGGCCAGGGCCCAGGGTGCCGCTTTCCAGCACCCTCTGCTTGTGGGTACTTGCTTCCCCTGTTCCAACACAGCTGTGTGGTCCAACAAGAGGTGTTATTATTATTATTATTGCTCTTTGTTATTTTCACTGGTTTTCCTCCACTTTGCTTCCACTTGGAGCAGTGGCAATTTCAGTGCAGGACTGCAAAAACAGGCTGCAAAGGACAGCGGAGAGACAGAAACTCTGCTCTGGGTCATCCCTACAGTAATACTAAAAGCATGGTACCTCCGGGGCTAATCAGACGACAGGGAACAGCCAGGGCCAGGTCGGCTGCCCCAGCACCAAGCACCACCATGGGGGTGAAAACCGGGTACAATGGAGCAGCCAAACTTTTAAACCTCACTGCTAAAGCTAACCCAAACCTGTAATCCTAAAACTAACTCTACACCTAACCCTAAAACTCAGCCTAAACGAAAACCTAATCCCGAAGTCTAACCTTAACCCAAAACCCTAAACCTGCCCCTAACTCCTAAACTGTGCATCCTAACCAGAACACTAAACATAACCCTAACCCCTAAGTCTAAACCTAACACTAACCCAATCCCTGCCCTTAACCCGAACACTAAACACTACCCCTAACCCTAACGCTAAAGCTACCCTGAACTGTAGCCCTACCCCCTAACCCAAACCCTAAGCCTAAACCTAACTCTAAACCCCCTAGCCTTAGCAATAACTCTAACACTAACCCTAAACTTATCCCCTACCCCTAATGCTAACCCTAACCCAAAATTGCTCATGTACTGGGACAAGCAGTTTGTAATCCACCTCCATCAGCTGCTGCAGGTGTCTGAGGAGTGGGCACTCAGGCAAGTCCCAGAGAAGCTCTTCCTTTATGCACCGGGAGCTGCCTGAAAGGTCAGGAGCCGATACACTAGCCCTGGAGAACATCGTGGCCTCACCATCCTTGGTCACCCAGCCTCAGCTTTTCACAGTCCTTTCCCTCACCCACTTTCAACGCTCACCTCTTCTGCTTGGGACATGACTGCTCCTCAGAGCCCACCAAGCACTGCTCCCCCCTTGCAGGACTCCTGCCGCTGCTCCCAGCCTGCAGCACATTTTGAGGCACAGCTGACATCGGCTGCGAGGGGACACTGAGGAAGAGGCAGCGAGGTGTCTTGGCACTCCCAGAGACCCCTGCACCCCCGTGGGGCACCCAACCCACTGGCTACAGGCCCATAGCATCCCCAGCAGGAGGCTGGGAGCGATAAAAAGGATCTTTGGGAATTGGCACACAAAGTTGCTGCTAGTCCCAAAAGCAAGATCCCAGCAGTGGCCAAGGGCACAGCCCCGCCTCTGTGCCTTGAGCACGCGTTCAGCTGCAACCTAGGGCAAGCTGGGCTCTGCTACAAGGCGCTGCAGTGAGGACAGGGCAAGCACAGTAGCTCAGAGATGGTGTCTGAGAAGTACCCTGGGCTGTGTGCCATCAGCCTGACTTCCCCTGCTGGCGCTTCCTGTGCCACTTCACTGCTG